ACATAAAATCTTAATTATTCAGAAAACATTTACTCGCAACGAGGAAGTAGCTGCTGCAAGATATGACCACTGAGATGATAACATTTGTTTGAGAGCAGTTTATGACCGTCTTTTGAGATCGTGTAGAAAGCGAGAAGACTGAGAGCGTAACCACGATTCTACAGAGGTAGGATAAGAAGGGAAACACACAGAACAAAAAAACAAAAAGGGGAACAACAACAACAATATAATAGGGTCACCCACGAAAGACCTAGGCAAGAGAAAATAATTTGACTTACAGGCTCGACCAAATGCTGGGCGCCACTTTGGAATGGCAAGCAGGAGGTAGATCTCCCCTGCAATGTCAGGCATGTGTTAAGTGCATGATGTGCGTGCAGTATGGACGTTCTCTTTTCTTGTGTGAGGTCGTGGTTATCATTTTTATTTTATTTTTATGACTAGACGTTCGGCGCCCTACGGGCACCCTATGGGGCGGGCGCCAGAGAAGCCCCGGCTCATGGGCTGCCGCGGGAGTTCGGACTCGCGAGACCGTCACGCGCTGCAGCGGTCCGAGACTCTCGCGGGTGCAGAGCAGAGCTTCCGTGGCCCACGCCGTCTAGATTTAGTTAGTGCTTTAGTTAGTGTGTGGCACCGCATCGGCGCATTGCACGTCTACCTCTAGGACGCTGGGGAGGTGGGGGGCAGTGCGACCGGGGTGTTACCTGTAGGGGATGTCGCTGAGGTTGGACTGCGAGTGGCTGTGGCTGACCGTCCGGTTGAGGTCCTTGTCACGCACCCCGGACACGGCCAGCTCGTGCGCGGACCCGCTCAGCGACCGGTCACTCCCTCGCCGGCGTCCCGCGAGAGAACCCTGCGATGGGAACGCGATTAGGTTTCCAAGAAAACTACATCACTTCTCAATATGAGACAAGAAAATTTGTACGAACTACGTGATCAACCAAAAGTACAAGTGAGGAATGAACACTGAACAGGCTGAGGCTGGCGGTGAGTGCCGTCCAACATGAGTCGTCAAAGGAGCACGAAGCCAAGCAAAGCGTCTAACCTGTTGTACCTGCTGCGACAGGGAGGCAGCGGTGGACTGCTGCTGTTGAAGCAATGCCTGGGGCTGGTTCTTCTTCTTGCCAGGACCAAAGTTAAAAAATCTGCCGACGAAAACAGAAGAAAAAATCATCAGTAAAATATTTCTATAGGGGTGTGACTTATGTTTCTATCATCGTCCAGAAAGTACGTCCGTTTATCTCAAAATCATCCTGCAAATTACAGAAGCTCGGCGCCTGCAAAACTCGGGGTAGGCCATCCCGCAATACGCGCAAGCACGGCATGCATTATTTTGCCTACCCATCAGGCGCCATGAGCGCTTGCATTGCCTTCATTTGGAGGGTTCGTAACGGCGAATGACGGACGTACTTTCTGGATGATCCCATATCACCAGTCAACTATCAGTAGACGACAAAATCGTGACCAATTGTGAGAACCTCTGACTGGTTCTGCGAAATTTTGACCAATGAAACTAGGCCGAAGTAATTATTGCATATATCGGTCACAGTTTGACCCACCTTTTCTTGGCGCTGGGCTGCACCCCCGCCGCCAGGAGCTGCTTGTACATCTCGGACCGTCTGAAGCGCGGGTAGCAGTCCTTCTTGAGCAGTAGGGTGTAGACGTGCTCGGCCGCCGGGTCGAACGTGAAGCGGGACGGGTTCTTGAGCTCCTGCTGGGTCCGCTCCATCGTCTTCCCATCAATGTTCACCTCGCACGGCGCCCCGGGGGCCAAGAACTCGCTGCAGGGCGGGAAGTTTGAAATTAGAGACCCGCAATCACGTGAATCTTAAGGCGTCATGGTTTGTGGTCTGTGGCGACGATCGGCGACCTTAATCTAAGTACTGTTCTGGTTGGCCGCACAACTGCGAAGTCCCAGTGGAAAAGATTGTAGGTGCAGCAGGGGGGGGGGGGGCGCTTGGGTCAGGAGCACGACCCTGAAGGTTGGCAGCTAACGATACATCAATCCCGAAAGTAAACAAACTCTCGGCAACCAGACTGGGCCGGCCCCGGTCTCCGCCTTACCGTGCCACCCGGGCAAAGTTGGGAATTGGGGTCGGGACTGACTAGAGCTGTCAAATCAACTTTGATTTAAAAAGTATGGAGGAGTTAATTCGACGCGTCAAGTTGGTACACAAGTTGTACGGGGGTAGGGCTGCCAGCAGCGCGCCAGGAGTCTCCTATCGCAGCCTACCGCCATCCCGACGGAAATGTTTTATACCTTGTTTAAAAGTTGGGCAAGCAAAGAGTTGTTGTTGATGTTGTTACTGTGAGAGAAGGGTGCATACCTGTAAATGTCCTTGACTCGCTGAGGGATCTCTCGTTGAGAGCTCCGCCTCAGGCTGTTGACGGCTAGCCAGAAGCGAATGTTTTCATGGCTGTACTCCTTCCGCAAGTAGTTGGTGAACTCCTGGAGGCCTGTTGGAACAAAGAGACGGGAACTGATTGGTCGACGAGTCACTCGACGAGTCACTGATTGGCTGCTGTACGCGCGGGAGCTGTTGAAGTATATATCTACAGAAATATGGAAAACATCGAGTTTCGCCACTGAATTAATTATTCAACGCAACTCAAACGAAGTATAGGTACAATCTTTACTTTACTTTTGCACCCTTTGAGCGATGCGGGGGGCAAGCGGGCTGATTCCGACCTCAAAGACGGTGACAAAAAAGCATAAAAGCAAATTTGGAGGCGAGTGCGCACTCTCCATGGAGGAAGATGTAGGGCAAGGGAAAGGTAAGGTACTCTGAAATAATGTCATAGTAGTCTGGCAGAGATAATTCAACTCACCCGTCGGGTCGGAGACGAGTTCCTCCATGCTAATGGCCCAGCGCCGAACCCGCTTCTCCGTCGGGATTTCCACGCTGCAACACAAACAAAACTCAACTTTGGAGACCAAGGCGGGATTCCGAGAGAGGGGCGACCAGGGGGAGCGGCGGGGGAGGAGAAAGGGAGAAGAGAGGGAGGGTGGAAGGGGGGGGGGGGCGGAACACACCACGGGTACTAGACTGCGTCGCCCACAGGCCACGATACGCGGGCTCCCTGAACACTACTTGCACCCTGGCGACCACAACGGGATATTTAAATCCCGTGGATCACCCAGCTGCGACGTTATTCGCAAAGCCGAGCTTCCCCTGGCCATGCGAGTCATGTCTGCAGGGTGTATTCAGTACGGCGATACGTTCCGTTCCTCGCTCTCCACTATAGAATTTTGGATACGGCAACAGCGCAATGTAAGGAAAGCAAAGCAGATGTACGCGAGTAAACAGAGACGGAGCAGACAATGCGATTTCCACTGCTTCACTGCGATATTGGGGAGGGGCACAGAGGGGCGAGAGGGTGGAAAGGGGGGAGGAAGGGGAAGCGGTGGAAGAGGAAAGGAAGCAGGAGAGCGGGGACTGCGCTTTCTTCCAGCCCCTACTTCTCTCCAACAAGACTCCCCCCCCCCCTCTCTCTCTCTCTCTCTCTCTTTCCCGCCCTTTGCGTAACCAACCGCCGTCGCCCCGCACCACCTTCTGGCGTTGGGACTGGACCACTACTTTGCGAGAACAAGTTCAGGCGTGGCGGGGGCTTGGCTGGGCGCGGTGGGGCGTGGCGGGGCGAACCTGCTTCGATTTTATGCGCCCCGGCGTACACTGTTCTCCGCGCTTCATATAGACTGCTGTCCTTATCTGCAAGGCAAAAACGGTGAGCGGAGAAGCAAAGCCGCGACTAGAGGAGGGGAAGAGGCTGGGAGGGGCGATAGCCTTGTGGCCCACCGCCTCACTAAACAGTTTCATCAAACAGCCCGGCCGGCGGGGCCCCGGCTCGCCAAGCCGACCCTCCCCACCCCCACCCCTCTTCTCCAGGTCAGGTGTGGCCTTCATAATGCTTTCAAACCATCGCCAAAGTCGGGGACCAGAGAGAGAAAGAGAGAGAGAGATATGATGTGGCAGCCCTGTAGAGAAAGTGGTAGAGATTCAAGGGAGTGGAAGAGGGAGAGAGAGAGAGGGAGAAGAATAGGCAGAAGAGGAAGAGGAAAGGAAAGAGGAGGTGAGGAAGGGATAGGGGAAGTGCTGTGGGTATTAGCATTCCAAATAGCAGTCCGCTCCTCTCTTGACGTCCTCTTTCTCCCGCCACTACAGCTCCTGCTGTGGCGCATCTGCCGAGAGCTCAGAGGAGGAGGGGCAAATAAAACAAAAAACAAAATCGTAAACGTCTTGACGGTGAGGTAACGTGGATAGGAGCCATTCCGATCAGCTCGCAGAGCAGCAGCGGGTCGCCCCTGCGCCTGGTACCAATGACTCTCTCCCTCCTCCCCCTACGGCAGCACAGATCATTCCTAGAAAACGTCGCCTGAACGTAGCGGGAGCCAAAAAAAAAAAAAAAAAAAAGACAACGTTCAGTGCCATAAACGTCACTTGGTGCTAGGGATCGACCTGAGTGTACCTCACTTCATTTTGAGACCGTAGGTCGGACCCGGGTACACCTGTGAATACGCAGCAGTGTTGCGGGATTGCATACTCAATATGACCGCAGGGGCAATGGCCTCTCACGGTTGCAAAGAGTAGGCAATCCCTCAACACTGCTGCGTGTTCACACTGCTTGCATCCTTTTATCCTCAGATTCATTCTGCAAATTACGGGAGCCCGACGCCTGCGAAATTCAGCGCATAGGTTACTTGCTTTACAGGCATGCCTTGCAGGCAATCGTTTGCCTACGTATCAGGCGGTCTGCTGAGGTGCTCCTAGGGCCTTCACAGACTGAACTTGGACGAATGGCGAGAGACTTTCTGGACGATCCCTTTTGTGCTACGCGATACATACGGGCCATAAGGCGTGATTGTGGCTCCCTGCTCTGTTACAGTGGCGTGTACTCACATCGGACTGTTGATGCTCCAAAAGCTCGGGTCTTCCGATGTCCAAGGGTTGGATGGTTGAGGTGGCGTTACCATCGGGTCCCACTCGCAAAACATTTCGCAGTACTGCATTAACGACTCGAGCGCTACTGACATTTTGATCCTTGTCCGATCCAGGCATCTCCGCAAAAAATCCACCTTGTGGCAAAAAAGGACAATAAAACTCTCAATTTTTTTTAAAATCAGATATGCCATGCCACATTTTTTGTGTTCAATGTGGGTAATTCAAACGATTTCATAGGCTCACTTCTCTCTGAACATCCTCTATGCTGCGTTTCTTCGGCTTGCTGCTCCTACTCCTGCTCGGGATGGGGACGTACTCCAGCGAGTTGAGGAAGCCGGGTGGTGGGCGGTTCACTCTCCAGAAAGCGCGTTCTTGTGAGTCCAGCACGATCTTGTCGCATTTCTTCATTCCTTTTGCCTTCTTAACCTGGAGAAGCCGCGAAAAAAAAAATGAAGATAATTTAGCATTCAGTCAGACAAACATCTGCATCACCCAAAAATAAATAATCTGAATCTAAGGGAATTTTACCTGTTCGTCTGCCTGAAGCGTTATGCATTCCCATTTGTTCTTGAGATTACTCTTGAGGCTGTTGAGCGCCTCCTGCAACATTCATTATTGCATTAGTGAATTTAGAAATGAAACATAACGTGAAAGTTTTCGGGCTGCGAAAGTTTTAACGGGAAGCACACTCACCATCTCGTATTCCTCCAAGCCGTGCCGTTGTTTGTTCCTCATGGTCCTCTTGAGCAGGTAGATGGCGTACTCCACGTTGTCCGGCATCTTGTTGTTTTGCCATGGCCAGTACAGGGGCGTCTGCAACAGTGCGGCGATCGCCTTAATGGGACCGGCGTTCCAGAACCATGCCAGGCAGTGCTGGAGGGTGAAGGGAGGGTGGAGTAGGGGTGCAAGGTTGCAGTTGAACGTCCAACAGAACATGTTCTTTCGACGTTAGTATTTTAGCAATGTTTTCACTGTGATAGGGATCTCTCTACAGGTGTGTTATTGTACACTATTACACATGTGCCTTTCACATGCTGAACGGTAGAAGTTCCTATGTGTAAAACGATGCAATAGTTCATTCGGTTGGGGCCTGAAAATCAGTGTATAAACTAAACCATGAGGTTGCCAGTCAACATGTCATCGAGCTTTTGTTTTGTTTTTAGATGGATGCTTATCCTCTGGAGTCCAGTCAGAAGGGCAGAGCGAGTGCTGCCAATACTCACTTGGAACCGGTACAGCGAGCTGTCGTCTTTGACCACGAGGTTCTTGGTGTCGCTCACCGGGAAGAAGTACCCGTACTGACACAGCAGGTTCCCGATATGCAGCGCCTCTACTGCGGACGACCGGTAGGAACAGAGGAAACACACCAATTAGCCCTGATTTCCGCTCTAGCGACTGGCGAGGCCGAGGGAGGGGGCCATTCAAATTAGATTGAAAAGAGGCTTTTTTTTCTTCAATAAAAAAAAGTAAATTGCAGCAGCATGGAGTCTCAGGCAGAGAGACAGTAAAAGAGACGAAGCGCTTAGAGAAAGTCGTACCTGACTCTTCGATGTTGAGTCGGTCCATCAGCCACTCAATCAGATCGTAACCTGTGGGGAACATCCGAAATGTTGAGATGAGAAGAGTTTGTCGCTCGTCGGTGTACAGACCACACTATGGTTTGGAACCGAAACTCACCCATGAACGCGGAAGGTATTGAAGTAAGAAAAAGTTTCTGGCAGCGCACCGGTACCCCTGTTTCTGGATCCTGCATCTCCCGAACCAGCCCCTCCATCTGTAAATTACGAGAAAAAGAGAAAGGATCAGAAAATTGTTCGAAAGTAAATCATACACAGAATAACTAAGTACTGTAGATTAGGATATGCCTTTTTTTTCGGACGCGTTTCCGGAAATGATACACACAACTCGCACGTTGCGTTTTTTCTCCCTAGGGTTACAAATTGTTGCATTCCACCCTTCGGACGCGCTTTTGCGCCGGCCGCCTTCGCCTTTCCCATCGGCTGACCTTTCAGCAACCCGATACCTTGTGGCGTTGGAACACGTTGGAGAGTGGCAAAGAAGGGATGCGTAGGAGAGGGGAGGGGGGCTCGCATGACACAGGTAAAGAGAGGGAGGGGGAGGGCTATAGAAGGAGATCGAGGGAGAGAGATGCCAGTGCCACCGTGTGCGCCGGGGTAAGAGGCAAGTGCGAGGGCGTAAGGTGTATATGGCGTACCGTGCCTTGACGTGGCAAGGTGGGGGTTGACCAGCGGGAGATGGGAATGGGAGGAGGAGGGGGGGGCTGAAGTGGTAAATGGGGGAGGAGCGGAGTGCAGGTGCCCGCTCCGCTCGCCCAGGCAGAGCAGGCCGCACAGGCCGTCGTGGTGTAAACAGAGTGTTGGCAAACACGGCGACGAGCTGCCTCGCCGAGCCATGACGCCCTGCTTTCAGCCGCGACGACGACGAGGAGGACTCCACGCCAAAAGACGATCTTTTCACGAAGAAATGGCATGACGCGACAAAAGAAATTTCTGTATATCGAGTGTGGATGAGGAGAGCACCGGCTGCAGACAGGTGGTCACAGAAGTGATAAAAAACACCAGAAAAACGATTGACTGTGTGTGTGTGTGGGTGCGTGCGTGTGGGTCCGAAAACGGCTGAACCAATTTTTCTATGCCTTTTTATTTTCTTTTTTGTTGCTCGGCTCCGCCGCCTCTACCGGCTAGAGCTGCGCGCGCACGTTTATTACGCTCAGCGCGCTCCGTGGGGCCTCGAGCTGCCGAATGCTTTCGTGTTGGCTCGAGAGAGGGAGGAAGAGGGGGAGGGGGATGCTAAGACGAGTGCACAATACAACACCGTGGCCAAAAGAGCGAGACGACACCTGCTGCGAGTCTCAGCGCAAGCAGCCCTCTCCGCATGCCTTTATTAATTAGTTTTTGAGGGGCAGATTGTTATTTGATGAGCTGACAGGCTACGGTGAACGTTCCCATAAAGCGGACAGGCGAGGGAGTGAGGCACCTTTCCTCAGCGGTGGACGCTGTCCTCACGCTATGGATGGCTAGCCAAGCTTCGCAAGCCGATCGCAGCACTTACAACCTTTGGGTGTGAGAGGGCTGACCTAGGAAGCTAGACACAGACATTGTTGGTTCTGAATAAGGTCAAAAACTGACCGAGTTTAATTATGGCCTAAGCTCATACCTTAAAAATGATCATGTTGGCCGAAGAGACGCGGCAGGATAGCACAAATCGAAAAGTGGAAGAAGAATTGGTTTGACTCCTCCCCAAGAAGCCCATTGTGAGGCTAGATAACACTTCAGTGGGGTGAAGGGCAAGGCAGGATTTAAAAATCGAAAGTGCTTCTTGGCATAATTTAATACGGTTGTGGAGGAATTTTGGAGAGTAAAGGTAAAGGTGGAAGAACGTATTCTGTTGCCGGCATGCCGGCTTTTGGTTGAGGCCGCGCGCAACGGCAGGCAAGCAAGCGATGCATTTCCAAAACGAATATATTAAAATTGTTAACCACGCATTTCATTTTCTGAAGCGATAACTGGCAGCCCCCATGTTTCCCAAAACAACCCCCCGCCCCCTCCCCGCGCTACACCTCCCTTCCTTTTCTACTTCCCGCCGCGCCACGCCACGCGACGAATCAAATTCTAAATGATTGATCGCGGGAATATTGATGGGTGAACAGGATAGACGCCCAGCGCTGTCCTCCCTGTTCTCTCCCTTCTCTCTCTCTCTCTCTCTCTCTCTCTCTCTCTCTCTCTCTCTCTCTCTCTCTCTCTCTCTTTCAGTCCTGCCCTGATTGCAAAGTCGATGCGTGGGTAGAGATGGGAGACTGATGCGAGGCGAGAGAAAGGGGAGGCAGCTATAGCGAATATATGTGGAAGAGAGGGTCCTCTGCAAATCTAACTGTATAGCACAAGATCTCAATTTTAACTTCGAAGCCAAAGTCGGGCAGTTTTTTAGTTCTCTCCGCTCCTAGCTCAATTCTGTCAGCTTACACTGTTAAATTCCTACAAAGCAGAGCTTTGCAGGCCTGCAAAGGATTTAGATCCTCTGTAGGTACGAAGCATTTGCTTGGCAATTTCAAAGCGGTCCTTTGCAATTGCGAAGCAGCCTAGCAGCCTTGTCAGCCTGCCTTGAAGAAATTTCTTCGAATGATTTTTTCTCGGATTATAAATCGCAATGGTTTCGCAAGGTTTGTACCACAGTTTGTCAGACACATTTAGAGTAAATTCCAAACATGCTAGATGTATTTGTGGGTTTGTGTGCAATCGATCGAGCTAAGCTAGACCAACTAGACATGTTTTCGTGGTTGGCCAAATTTTGCTGTAGGG